TAGGTCGAGGGAGGCACTTATTGAAAGTGGTATTTAGGAAGGAAACCACATCATCTGGTGGAAGAGGAATCTCTTCTTGGGATAGTGACCATGAGAGTTCCTGATCTGAGGAAGGCTCCCCCTCATTCTCAGAGTCGGATTCTAGGAGCTGAATAAGAGGTCTTTTACGAGGGTTAGGACAGTCCCCTTCAAATCCATCAAAGGTACCTGTAAAAGGACCAGTGCAACAATAACACAAGGAATGTGACACTGAATGTTATTGTTATTATTAACCCTTCTAGGGTTTCATTATCACCAGCACCAGGTGGGGTATATATAGACAGAGGACCTCAAAGACGGAGTCTATTAAATAGGTCTTGTCTAACATAGAATAAGATTAACAGAAGGTTCCATGGCGGAGCCAACGGAAGAACCAACGTTAAGCTGTATTGGCATAATGCCGAAGGCCCCGGGTGGTTATCATACGGTACCGTTACCCCGGGTCCCACTCCATTAGGAGCGAATGCCCTTTCAGACCCTTGGCGAAGCCAATATAAAGGTCAAGGCATGAACAATAGTCTGCAAATGAGACTCAAACTCACTTTGTGACAGGACTGAAATCCCCGATAAAGAATCAGCAGGCGACAACGGCTGATGTTGAGAGGGGACCGGCTGGTCATCAAATGCTCTCATTAGCTCGTCCATACGTGCTAAAGGAGCAACAATTAGCACCGATTAGGTAAGATTTTTACCAGAGAAGAAGAAGGGATACAACCCGTGAATCGAGCAAAAATAAAGGCCAACGTGGTCTATCACGTGAGCTGAGTTAATTACCAAAAAAAAAATCTATCGTTAAAATTTTGCTATAATTTACAATATTTTGAGCAAATATGGGCCAAATACATATGTCATATATGAAACCTTGCCATGATGTGGAATCATTAGTGCTCAAATAGATCTAACAGCTATTGGCAGCTACTTTGGCAATAAATGAAAATGTTTGTACATGCTTGTATAATTTGGAAATGAGTGATCATTGTTTCCACTCTTGTGTTTGGCTGTCATGCTAATCTCACAATAGAAGAACAAGGAGCTACCATTAACTGTTCTACTAATAAAAATGATGGAAAAAACAAAAAGGCATCTGTTGGGCTATTTCTTAAAAACTGCCAAGGAATCTGACCTACTAAATAACATCACTATTGCACACTGTTCCATTAAAGATAGTTTTAGTGACCATGTGACATCAATAAAAATGCTTTATAGTTACGGTACTAATTTACAACTACAAAGAAGTTAATATACCAAATTCTAGCATCAGAAAAAATCATTGCTCTGCTATACTAGATAGCAATCAATGGATGATGGAACTATTGGTTGTAACAACACCAATATATCAATTTCTGATTACCTAATTTCTGGTTAAGATATAATAATAGAAAACAATGAAAACATATCTGACAGAAAAACCAGTTACACAGTGGCCAGTGGTCCACTTGGTTGTTGTAGCATGACTTAAGCGAATTAGGATTTCTAGATAGACAACAATAAAAAAAGAGAAGGCAGTTTATGTGTAAAGTATAAAATTAACACTACTAGTATATTGTCATTTGGATTATTTTTATGTCCGAATCAGAATATTGCAAGTACAGTTTACTGTTTTATATATTAAGTAAACTATTACACTTACAATTCTATTTATAGTGGTCATCTATTATAACATTAGTTTCACTAATAGGGCTGTTTATTCTTTTGTATACAACAGCTACACATAATGGAAATGTCAGTTCGTGATATTACACAGTTTCAGAATAATTGCTTCATCCAAGCTATTAATTTCTTCTATACTATCTTAAACCTAGTAATGAAATACATGTATTCTAATTTTGCCTATGGAGAGGTGATGCCACAATATTTGCAATTAGACTATAGCTTCCAAGGCTTATGCACTGTGTCTGGTAATGCTATACTGGTGCTGATATCTAACAAGTGCGGCAGATGTAGTTGATACTGTAGAAGGAATAACTCAATAGTCCATGGTCTCACAGCATTCCTCATCATGCATATGTGCTATTCAGAGGTTATTCATAGGTCATTAAATTAATCTTCTAAACTATGAGACACTGAAAGGTGTGGCACTAAAGGTCACTAAAAGACACTAAAGGT